CGAGAGGTCCATGAGAGACTTGCGCGTTTATGCTATCCTAGTACATGCATCTCTCAGCCTACATACTAAATACAGAGCCTATACTCTCCTAGTACACTACAGCTGCTAGATTCTTCAGAAGACTACACCATAAAAAACTCCTATCCACTTGAACCTCAATAGTACATATGAAAAGATAATCCTTAGTCGTTATTTCTAGAGTGGGTCGAATATACACTACTAATTTCTCACTCGACCATATGGTGGATAAAACAAAACTCGTAATTCGTATGAGAAACTTGTATCGAAGTAGGACTCCATACAACTACTATCACCGCAGACGTATCGATAGGACTAATTCTTAACAACTTTGTAGGACTGACAATAAATTAATGTTCCCAACACAATTCGGCTGACCATCGCATTGCTCGACTGGACAGCTTTCATTCGTCTATTAATTCATATATACCGCAACGTTGGCAGGCTATAGCTCTGTACGAATTTACCTTAGAACGCTTTAACATCGCCTAACATAATCACCATTGAAATTTTTCATACATACCGACTCACCCACTTCACATTATTATCGGGGATAAGTTGTCTACGCAATAAATGGCAGGCACAAGGATACATAGTGGCATGTCAATACATTTAATATCATGAATCTCTTCGTTCACTTTCCCAGTGCCTTAACATTTCAGAGCCTAAATCTGCGCACTGTACGAAACTGTGTTTCATAATCGGGGATATTATCCTCTTCCATATTGGATAAAATCTCGGTCTAACCCTGTATAAACAAGATTACAGTAATATGAGGTACTCTGTTGGGACACCGCTTTCGCATACGTTCCTTCGTTTCTAAAGCGCACCAGCCTATTCGAATGGACACAAAGTGAAAATATGGAGGGTGCAAGATCATTCTCCCATGGTATAATATAAACATCTAAACGTCTCATTGATCTAACATACTCAATTACATTGACTGGAGGGTAATTAAACGGTTAGAGAGACTCCCAATATGGATGTATAACTACGCTCAGTTCAGTTCAGTTCAGTTTAGTTTAGTTTAGTTCAACCTAGCTCAGCTCTATTTAAATAAAAAGTAAATGTGTATGTATATACTAAACTAAACAACAAGGACTAGTATTGATATCAAAAGAGTGTAATATATTATTAACGTATAACAAGAAAGTAAAATAATTAAACACATATGGCTCCATTGAGTTTAAATTGAAATTGAAATTATAAAGAAAGGAAAAAAAAAACCATCAGCAAATGCGGAAGTAAGCTAAGCTAGGCTAAACTAAAATACCAATACCAATACCAATACCATTACCAATACCAATACTAATATAAATAACAATCATCTATACTATCATGGCATAGCATGGTATAAACCACAATTAAAATTGCCCTGGGAACCTATAACAACTTAAAATAAAACACATTAGCAAGTAGTGCAAGAGACGTAGTGACAACAGTAGCATCAGCAGCTACAACAGGTTATGGTATAGTATAGTATAGTATAGTATAAAATATATAATATAATTAGAATACAAAGAGATGATATGATATATCCTGATAGAACAAATATTTAGGAGAAAAACGACCAGACAACAACATTTGAATTGGTCTCTCTATGATCTTATAGCCATTTTTAGATAAATTGATGCAAATTGAACTAACTTTTTAATAACAAATCAAATCAAATTTTTCAATAACACTAGACTGAACTGAACTAAACCACATTCTTTATAGTTAAATTGGTTAAAAACTTTACAACATTTTTCATTTTTCATTTCGGAAGGACCTCAAATCAGGTAGAAACAAGGAAGTAAGAGCAGAGGAGCATAGTGAAAGAAAAAAAAATATAAAATCTACTTTTTTTTTTCACTTTCCCACTTATTAGCCTTTACAGTAATTAATAAACATACTTTTTCCACTAATTTCATTCAATTACTAGTTTTAGTAGCAAATTGATCAATCTCTCTCCTGTCCTTGGATAACTTTCACTGTTTTATTTAATTAAAATGGCATAGAATGAAGTTTGTGTTTATGTTTGCAGCAATTGTTGTGCTTTTCCATGGATGTACTTGATCCAACTGAACTAACTCTAGAAGTCTCTCTCTCTCTCTCTATCTCTTGTCTTGATATTAGTTAATCTACTTCTTCATCAGCTGAATGAATCTATTAAAATTGCGTGAATATTGGTTGATTCTTGATATTTCATCGGATTCCAGTGCTTTTAATAGTACTAATTTTGTTGTGCTGGACTCTGTAGTGTGCTAGTTGTGGTGAAAGTTGTTTTATTTTTGTTGACAATTTTCGACTGAAAGTTCCAATATTTAACACTAAATTGGTAATTTTGCAAATAGCAAAACAATACTTTTGGGTTTAACCGCATGTGGTTATATGGGCTTTGCAAAAGTACATATCTCCTATATTCCTCTCTTAGTTTCCTATGATTCCTATGATTTTTTATTTGTTATTACTTTGCTATTAATGGTTCATTAATAATGTTAAAGTTTTGTAAAGCTAAGCAAAAGTTGAAAGGTACGGATAGCAGTAAGGTTTTTATCTTGTATTGTATTGTATTGTATGGTACTTTTAAAAATATAAATCCATTTTCACATATTCTTATCCTATTATGGATTATATAGTGTATTTGCTAGTGAATAATTACTTTTTTAGGTATCAAACTATAAAAACAACAACATCATCATCGTCATTATCATTGTCCTCCTCGTACTCAAGTAAAGGCAAGGCCCAGTTTACCTCTTGGGCACTTCTAATTATAGTCATGTGTTCCTTGGATTGCTCGAAATCATAAATTATTCATCCTAAATAATTGATATTAATGCTAGTTACTTTCATATATACACATTATATGTAGATAGATATATGGCGGTTTATGCTTGAATTTCCTCTATCAGTGATAGACATGGCGGGTTCATTTGAAGAGACTCCTCGTAATTGACAAATTCAATATCTTCAATCTCTTCAAGTACTGGCTTAGTACTGTTAGTTCGCTTTCTTTTATTTTGACTGTAATGGTGATTATGATGTTTAGAACTACTTTGAGATTCTCTATGTTTTTTATAATGATACTTTTTTTTATGTGTCGATGAGGATGGGGTCACTCGTACCCCAGATTTGTCAGATAGTTCCTTGGCCTCTTGCTTTTCTGTAATTCCTATCTTTAAAACCGTGTAATAAATCTCTTTGCCAATTTGATTGTATTTCTTTTCAATGTTACAATCAATTACAACGGCATCTTCAATATTAATACCAAATTCAAATTCTTTATTGAAATTATCCTTAGAGCTAGATATGCAAACACTAGATCCTCTACGTTCAATCTCAATATTATAATCTTGATAGGATTCTCGGGACAACTTCTTACCGACAGAGTTTAAATCTATTTGTGACATTGCTGCTCGTATTAATTCGTCGTCGTCGTCGTCTTCTTCACACTTCTCTTCAACATAATACTCATTACCAAATATATCACGAACTATGTTATAACTAGGTCTATAATTACGTTCCTTAATATCCTTGGCCTTTGAATAGATAACTGAATAAATTTCTCTTTCAGGTATTTCTTTTAGTATACTTAAGACGAACCCCTCTGAGATTTTATCAACTGAGTACGTTATCGCTTGAGAACTACTACTATTTCCTTTGTAATCATCACCACTAAATGAACTTTCTCTATCAGGACTAGTACAGTCACATCTTATAGGCCCTGAATAACCTCTTCTTCTTTTATATTGCTGGGAAGCGTTTGGCAGGTTTCCTCCAAACATACGTCTATTCCAAAGTTGTGATTGATCAAATAATGTTTGAGCTGGCAAAACTGAAAACATATTATTTACTTGTTAATCTGATATAATCAGTTATTTTAAAAACCCAAATAAATCCCTTATAAAATAAATAGCTTGATTTCAAATTGGGACTGATCCTTAAAATTCTCCCCTTGCAACTAAGAACGTTGTTTCAGCGTTTGCTTCTCTGATTAAGACTATTGAGACAGCGTCAAAAGAAAAACACAAATGGTTATCAGACAATCACTATATGGAACGGGATGTATGTACCTTCTCTTATATATCAATCTCAATTGTAATTCCTGGCAATGAATAAAAATTTCTAATATCCTCATCTCTTTCTTTGATCTCATCTCAACTTCTATGTCTTCTAGAATTTTCTTTAAGGTTACCTCACAAGAGACCGAAGGCGAAAAAAAGTCTCGAAGGTTCCAGATGGGTCGAGATGAGATGAAATGAGATGAGTATAAATAGAATACCAAAAGATAATCAAGATGTCTATTATTGACAAGATGGTTGTGATCTATTGGGTATGTTTATAAAGGTGGAAACTAATACATTGTTCATACGTATATGCACTAAAATAAAATTAAATAATAATAGAATTACAGATATAACTTAAAAAGTTAATGAATGATAATAATACAATCTAGGAAGATAAAGTTTCTAATATTCCTTCAAAGGAATTATTATTAGCAACTTTGCTATCCTTTAAATAATGTGCTAATGACGATAATGATTTATCTTTGGTATCTTTTTTTGTTCTAAGCGATTCACATATTTGAACAGCTTTATATCTATCAACTTGCTTTTGATTAACTAGGAAAATATAAAACTCAATGATAATTTTCCTTTCCTTATATAATGATTTAAAGGGAATTCTCCATTCTTTCCCATGCTTCTTGTTCATAGAATGTATCGACTCGTTATTGAATTCTGCATTAGGGGTGAACCATTCTAATATCACCCCTTCAACAGTGTCAATGTCAGAGTTGATGATAAACTTAAGTGAATTTTCTTCCCTTTGTTTATTTGATTCTAAAGCTGGCAATTCAACTGAAACCGGTTCTAATCTAGCCTTCTTAATTCTATTTCTCTCTCTTTCTTCTTCCTCCTCTTTTTCAATTCTATCTTGATCTCTCTTCCTCTTGTCTAAAATGTCATTAATCGTTCCCTCGATAGTTGAAGTTTGAGTTTTCAATGTTTGTGATATTTTTTCTTCAACAAGCTTCTCCATTGACATTTTTAATTTCTTTTCATATTCACTCATTTGTATTTTAAATGTAGCTCTAACTTTTTCTCCTACCAATTCATTAACCATAAATTTCAATTCCTCTTGCATATCTCGATCTTCATCATCTTCATTGTCTTCATTGATATCTTCCCTATCAGACTCTTCCTCTGATTCTTCAGATGATGATGAATCTAAATCTAATAATCCAAACTTAGGTTTTGGTTTGGCATGTTCCTTTTCTTTTGATTGCAATTCTTCTATTTTCAAATTTTCTTCATCGTCATTCCCTGATTCAATTTTTTTAACATCACTTGGTTTACTGCTATTAATTTTTTCTACTAGGATATTACTTAATGAATTCATTTGCTGATTAAGAAATTCCCTTGACGATTTTTTCATATCTAATTTGTTAAAGACTTTTGACAATGTTGTCAACAATAACTTGAAGTTTGATGCCGTCTGATACTGTACAAACTGAAAAGCAGGACCCATAATCTCATCAGATATTATAGACGATGTATCTAAATTTGATGCAATTCCTGATTGAATCGAAGGTAAGTTCACCAAAGTTGAACTAGATATGGAAGTTGTTTTTAAAGGTGGTTCAATAAGAACGTCATAAATATCGTTTTCTGTATATTTATTGATACCTGGTAATATATCAAAAGGTAGTTGATTCATGGGATTTTGTTTTACCGAATTGCCTATAACTTCTTGGAAATATGATTGAAAATCGGAATTCGAAAATAATGAGTCTTTGAAGATATCATGATGTGGAAAGAAATGGAAAATCCATGGTAAATTTTTTAGCAAGGCATTTCTCAAAGTTTCCATTAAATTCAAAAAATTCTTAGCTTCTTTTGATAAAATATTTGAATGACGTTTGTACTGATCAATTTCTGGAAATAGCTGATCCAATAAACTTGCTGGTAACATCGATTCATTTGTTAAAGAGTTATCAACATTATCATATGGAATGAATGGAGACTTTAAATTCAATATTTTGGCAAAGTCATATGGTACCTTATACTTATATGCGGTTGACATTGATTCCTTTAAAATATTATCGAATTCATTAAACTCTTCATCTGTCCAGGTTGGAAATTCGACTCTGGTCTTTTGGAAGTATTCTCTCCTTTTATATGGAAGGTGACAATATCTAAATACAATAGAATAGTAATTGCTCATAGTCTCATCCTTTGGGTAATCTAATGGAGATTTCCCTCTAATTAAGGGTAGATCTAACCAATGAATTAAGTTCGCCGAAAGTTTTGTGACACTACTATAATCCATTTTTGACTGTTTAATTGTGTTTGATAAATCTGGGAATCCGTCTCCTTTATAAACATTTCTAATACCATAAAACCTGAGATATAAATATGTGGCAAGCGATGTAATGGGACATAAAAATGGACAACTTTGAGGTAACAGAAGTAACGGGCTATGCGTCCTAGAGGTTTCATCATATTGATCTAAGGTGATACAATTCTTCTCTTTATTACCATTCAACTGGAATAATTTTATTATTGATCTTTTTGAGTAATTCAAATGCAAATAATTAGTGAAATGGAAATCTACTAAAAACCTTGATTTTTCCAAACCTGTCTTGAATATTTTATCAGATAAATTCAATGTCTGGGGATTCCATAGATTTATGGAAACTTTCAAAATTGCTGGGTGGGTATTTGTCATATTAATAGTATTATTGAAAGCAGTAAGCTCATTGTACCAATATGTATGAGATCTAATGATTGATTCTAAATATTTCTCATCGATATGAACATCCTCGGTTCCTTCTTTGTGAATAGAACAAATTTTAGCTAAAAACTTCAAACTTGATACTATTTTTTTTAAAGTACCGATCTTCAGACTCACACTTTCATGATCTAAATTTGAGGACTCTATTGTTGAATGACTATCCGCTGCATCGGTATTTGTAATGAAATCATCCATCAAAAACCAATGGAATAAATTCGATGACACTGGTAAATGCTTATATACAAACTCGGTATCCTCGGTGTCTAGAATGAATCCTTTTGAATGGCACCACTTTATATATTTGGTATAATAGGATTTATATTGATTTGCTGTTCTAGCAGATAGAGAACCCATAAGATTCGTTACCTGCAAATCAACATCCATATTAGATGAGGCAGTCATTTTTATGCATTGGGTTGGTAAGTTATGCTACCTCTATAATTTGTTGAGTAACTCAATGTTTTGCATTGTGTTATTCAATAGCCTTGATCTTAAATATACAATATTTTAAAATCCAGTATTGATAGATGAACAGATTGAAATTAATGATCTACGTTAATAATGATCTTTGAAATGTCGGACTTTCAAATCACATGACCAATATGGTTATGAAGTGACTGAAGGAAATTCACGAATTATGAGTGTGCTAGATACGTCATTAGAACACAAATTTAAATTCATGTGAAGATCCTAGTTTGAACATTACACCTTATAACTGGGAATTATTAGGGATTAACTATATTATATTCATTGATTTATTAAAGTGATTCAACAAAAGCTCTTATCTCAGTGAACGAGAAGATAGTTCTCTCTCAAGTTTTGTATAAATAGGAGGATTGGTTAACTAATGCAATTGTACTGGCAATTTAATTGTGTATATTCATAGTAATTATTCTCATTCTGTTTATAGCAAATAGTTGAAAATTAGGTAACTTATATGGTATCTAAAATTCATAGTGGTAACATGTCCTGTTGTTAATCTTCGCCGTTTTACTTATCCTCTTAAACAACGAAAGTTATACATCCAAATGAGCATACCATATAAAATAGCTAATTTAGAGCATATATAAATATATGTAGGGTATTATACATCTTGTATTATGAACTCTAAATATACCATATATGTATATTGATTTTAAATCAACGTAACCTAATAGTAACTGATACTTGGTGTCTTTATCCAAATCTTGATTATGGTTGAGTTTCCGCTGAGGTGTTAGAATTTTACCCTCGTGATACTCCATTTAGTTGCTTGGTCACGGGATCTTAGTTACTAACATTCATCAATTAGTCGCAATCAACGGTGGGGTTTACTCGTTACATAATATAGTGTTACCGTTACTGTCACACAAATGTCAGACATGAAGTAAGGTTTTACAGTAAAAGTAGTGATTAGATATACATACAAGAGAATGTTATTTGATATGCCAAAAGAAACCTTCAAAATACCAGAGACAATTAGAATAAAATACCGGCGATTATAAATAAAAAAAGCTTCTGAACGAAAACGATTGAAATTATAATGTTTTAATAATTAATCCTAAATGTTAGACTGGGAAATTTTCAAAACAATATTTATTCCATCTAATAGTTCTGTGTCATAAACAAGTACCTAAGGTTTTGGTTTGATTTATATATTTAGTTCTTCAATATTTTTATTTTCAACTTAATTAGCCATAGAGGGTAATTTCGTAAATCAAGCTATGAATAAAAGCATCATCTTCAAATAAAAACGTAAAAACAAGAATTGCTATAATAGCCTTCAAATAATTGTATTGCATCCAAAATCATTTACTTGTAAACAATTGGTGTCTATTGAAATTGGATTATTCAGCAAAAAGCTATTAGAGATCAGGGTGGGGGCGAGAGATAGTTATATGCTTCAAGAGGGTCCAAACTTGTTTGCGTTAACCTTGAAAATATCATTAACCCGCAATTGATCATTAAGAACAACCATTAATTAGCAGTGATCCAAACCGGTACTTAATGGATAATTCCTAAAATAAGAATAAAAAGCAATACAAATAAATTCCAATATTTGAAGCAATTTGTGGGAGAGGTAATTAAATCCCGGGGTCTTATATAACCAATTTTGTACAAACCTCTATAAAACACAGAGAGTTAACGTACCCCTTGCTTAAAATATAATTGATATGTTATAATTTATTAAAAATTGCTAGTAAGATTTTTGCATACTTATGTCGGTGATATCAAGAATAAGAAACAAGATATACAGTTCGAGCCAAATAACCAATTACCATCTGGAATTAGTTCCAATCGGTTCAATGCTTTAAAAGAATTTCATATAACAAACCTTTTTGCTCTTAATTTATTACGACCTCTATAGTAAGTAGTAGATAGACATTGAAATCTCATGCAATTTAGAGAGAGGGATGATGGTGACGAAGGGCTAATGTAATCCCTCGAATCTTAAGTATGTGTAACAACATAGCTAAAAGAAAAGTTTAATAGTATATTCTTGAGAAATCTGGTAGGAAGAAAGCAGATCTTGCTTATTTTAGTAGAAACATGCTAGAGCGATGTATGCAAAATATTAGTTTACAAAAAGCTCCTACTTTGGAAATATAGTTCGATTCATGAGTTCGATCATATTTATTAAATCAGAAAAGAAAAAGCAATAACTTACTAACAATCTTAATTTTTGGTTTTAGTAATAATTAGAAATTTGAAATTTGATTTCTTTAATTAACTACAATTTCAAAGAATAATAAATGGACCTCAAAGATGTGATTAAATGTAATAAGAATTACAGATCTAGGAAAGAGATTGAAAACGAATCTTGAACGGAATAATTGCAATAGAGGAGAAACTTTTATATTTTACTCAACCCATCAAAGATATCTATTATCCGCCGCTCATGTCACATAAAGAAAGATTGTGTCCCAATTATCTGTATGCTTAATCACTCCTAGGATAGATACCCAGTGAAGTAAGATCTAGCCACATTGGATTTTTCTTATTAATTTCAAAGTGCCAACCAGCCAGTAGGCATAGGGAAAGAAACGACAGTAAGCGATAGATGTTTTGATAGAAAGCCAGAACCGCTAATTGTATCCCTTGCATTTTTAATAATTGATGAGATGGATCGATATCCTTAAAAATAAAAATTGCTTTCTTCTTTCGTAGTATAGCGTAGAGAAATTAACAGACAAAGGATTATAATGCATAGGAAGTAGTATAGAAATATAGGTATGCCTGGCGAATAAACAGCAATATAGTAAACGACCATGGCCTAGCAAAGAAAGAAATATATAACAAATTTAAGTCTCGGCATCACAAATACACAAATTGGTAGATAGATCATCACTCCGAGATGTTTTCTGGAGGCAATTTCAATAATTGGCATCGAATCTAAGTAATAGTTAAGTGAGGCATTATCTTCGAAACAGATACTAAAAATAAATTAAAATAAGTTCAAATAAATCAGAATTCACTAATAAAAAAAAAAAGGTCTTTTTAAAAAGAAAGCTAAGAAGTAAAGATGCAAGAGTGATATTGTGAATTAGTTTTCTTAGATAATACAAAACAGGTGTATGATTTTGTGGGAGATATCTTTCTTTAAAGTTTCCTATTTATTTTTTTAATGGGTGAAGTGAAACTGAGTTGTAGCAGAGAATCTTTCAGTTTGTGAGAGATACAGAGATTCAGTATTGCATATCTTGATCCCAGTAAACTGGACGTACACGAGGCAATAAATCTTCAACCATAGCAAAATGTCTTGTTCCTCCATGATTTATCTATACTCAAGATATTTTCATGCTATATATATTTTTTCATACAGGTCCAAATTTCCAAACCGGATACCTTTTTCAGTATAGACCTTACCTTTTTCACTTTAATTCCCAGAATACAACGGGAGACATTTTTGAAAGGTCGTAATAAATCAGCAACCAGGTTGTCCCAAACTTCCAACAAAAAGGTCTTTAGTAGCTATTGTTATGTGCTGTAATTACTCTTCAACAGGGAGAAATAGAAAGAGAAAGAGCAAGAGAGTACAGGGCAATCACTCACTTGCAGCTTCAAAGTGTTGGGGCTTATGTCGCAATTAATTTTCCTGCTAGGTACGGCTCATCGATATTACACTTTAACCAGTTAAATACTTGTATCACTGAGTATTTTCATATATCATCTTCATCATCGGAAAATTCTCCCTCGAACATGATTATAAGCTAACAACGATATACTACTTTACTACAGTGAAAATGAAAAGAAATTGTTTTTTAATCGATTTCGAATACATCACTCCAAGAGTATTTTGTACAACATAGCATGTTGAAATTAATCCAAGATCATTGTGAAGGAAAAAAGTTTTTTTTTTTGAATTTATTATTGTTATGCAGTTGTTGTAGTTTTGATGTTAGTGTTGTCGTTTTTAGTAGTAAACTAATTAGTTACCATATTAGGATTGCAGATATTTTTCTATTATTCACACTCTTCTTCGTGAAATTTCTTTTAACTGTAAAACAACCGACCCATCTCTTCTCTTGATCTTTTGTTAACGATATCCGACTACTGACTCTACTTCAAAAGCTATGTCCTTCCCTCTTGTAGGTAAACTGTTTCGACTAAATCGGTATTTTCAAATCGTTAATGAACTTAGGTAATAAACTTGATCACAAGAGCAAGGCGAGACAAGACAAGAGAAGAAGGGAGGTTGATTTTTTGTTCTAATTAATTAACTTAAAAAATAATTGACTGAAGGCTGCAATTGCAATCAAAAGCATGCAAACGATGCGATAACTCTAAGTAATTTCATCTACTGTTATCATTACTTTTTTTTTCCTTTTTAATTATTTGATTTCATCTCTGAAGTTTATACTTACAATTGGTTAACTAGAGGGAAATACTTGTAGGTTTCGTTGGTATACTACTATAACACTCATCTATAATGTGGCTCAATTTAGTCCATGTTGTCATTATTATTACTATTATTTTTTTTTTTTAGGTATTTAAAAATTTAATGGATCCTTTTGCTTAGAAACGGTAATACTATTGGTTTTCCTTTTTTTTTCCATCTAGTTTCCAAACCTATTTCCCTGCAACAATTTTTTTTTTCGAACTTAATTATTACTTGAAGTTATTCGATTTCAAAATTTAAATACTCACGAAGGAGTGAATATGGTTAAATTTTTTTTTTTCATAGTTCGGTTCGGTTTGTTTTGGTTTTGCTATTTTTTCACTCTTTTTGTTCATATTTCAGGCATTCTCAATGATTTCTCAAGCATATCAATTAATATCATATATACATATATATATGGATGCTTAAATTCTTATACTTCTGATTTCTAAAATTTCCTTGATCAATTGTAATTATCTTCAAATCGAATTATTAAAATTTTGTTTATACCTTTTTTTATTTCTCTTCAATCTTTATACTTAAACCAAACACTTTAAGATCATTGCAAGAGTTTAACTATACAAAACTAGTTAGTTGCTTAACGTTTTGCTAAATTTTAACCTTTTTCTTTTTTAAAAGTCTATATATTATAGCTTTTTCCTTCATCTTTTAATCAAAAGGGTTTCAATTGCAATTTAAGAATACTTACTGGCATTACAATAATTTTTATTTTTTAATTCATTAATTCTTATTCTAATACAAATATTACTGTCATTAATTTTTTTATTCCCACATTAATTTAATTTTCATTTATTAATTATACATTTTCATCAATCATTGCATTAATACCATACATTATTTTATAAGACAAAATGGCAAGTGAAATGGAAGATATACAATCATACAACTCAAGTAGTAGTTCTATAGCGGACTTAGAGGATCATCAACAACCTCAACAATATATGCCTTCAGAATCAAATGAACTGAATTCAAATCCATTAAAATTATCTAGAACAGAGACTGTCAAGTCTCTTCAAGATATGGGTATGACTTCAGAAGCTCCAATTCCTGGTGTCAATGCTCCACAGACTTCAAGGGTTCAAATTTTCCCAGAAGAATATACCATGGAAACACCAACAGGTTTAGTTCCAGTTGCTACTTTACAATCTTTAGGTAGATCATCATTAGCTGTCACTCGTACAAGAACTAGACAAATGGACCGTCAATCACAAACCAATGCTTCCATTTCAGGTTCTAATTCTGAAAGTGATGAATATCAAAAAGAAACAGAAAAATCAGGCTCTTCAGGTGAAGAAAACGACCTAGATCCAGATATCGAATTCGTTACTTTTGTCACTAACGATCCTGATAATCCACATAACTGGCCATTATGGTTACGTTGGGTATACACAGTAATTTTATCCATTTTGGTTATCTGTGTCGCTTATGGTTCTGCATGTATCACTGGTGGTTTAGGTCTTGTCTCTGAAAAGTTCCATGTTGGTAGTGAAGTTGCTATCTTATCCGTTTCTTTAATGGTTTTGGGTTTCTCTTTTGGTCCATTACTTTGGTCACCTGTCAGTGATTTGTTCGGCAGAAGAGTAGCCTACTTTGTATCGATGGGTTTATACGTCATCTTTAACATTCCTTGTGCTGTTTCCAAGAACGTCCAAACTTTAATGATCTGTAGATTCTTCTGCGGTGTTTGGTCTTCATCTGGTTTATGTTTAGTCGGTGGTTCAATTGCTGATATGTTCCCAAGTGAAACTAGAGGTAGAGCTATTGCTTTCTTTGCTTATGCCCCATACTGTGGTCCTGTTTTTGGTCCATTAGTCAATGGTTTCATTTCTGTCTCTACTGGTCGTATGGATTTGATTTTCTGGGTTAACATGGCTTTTGCCGGTGTTATGTGGCTTGTCGTTGCTTTGATTCCAGAAACCTTTGCTCCAGTCATCTTAAAGAGAAGAGCTGCTAAATTGAGAAAAGAAACCGGTAATCCAAAGATCATGACTGAACAAGAAGCTCAAGGTATCTCTGTCAAGGAATTGATGAAGTCTTGTTGTGTTAGACCATTATACTTTGCTGTTACTGAACCAGTCTTAGTTTTAGTTTGTTTCTACGTTTGTTTGATTTACGCTTTATTGTATGCTTTCTTCTTTGCTTTCCCAGTCATTTTCGGTGAATTGTACGGTTACAGAGATAACTTGGTCGGTTTAATGTTTATTCCAATTTTAATTGGTGCATCCATGGCTTTAGCTACAACATTCTACTGTGAAAACAAATATTTGGCTATCACTAAGAGACGTAAACCAACTCCAGAAGATCGTTTGTTAGGTGCTATGATCGGTGCTCCATTTGCTGCCATTGCTTTATGGATGTTAGGTGCTACAGCCGAAAGACATGTTATTTGGGTTGGTCCAGCTTCTTCTGGTCTTGCCTTCGGTTTCGGTATGGTTTTGATTTATTATTCATTGAATAACTACATTATCGATTGTTATGCTCAATTTGCTTCAAGTGCCTTGGCTACCAAGGTTTTCTTAAGATCTGCTGGTGGTGCTGCATTCCCATTATTCACTAACCAAATGTACCATAACTTAGGGTTACACTGGGCCTCTTGGTTACTAGCATTCATTTCCACTGCTATGGTTGCTATTCCATTTGCTTTCTACTACTATGGTAAGACATTGAGAGGTAAGTTATCTAAGAAAGATTACTCATTGGATGCATTAGAAGAATAGTTGTAACTGCAAATTTATACACGGAGACAGTTCAATTTAATTTTTCTTCTTTTAAAATAGAACATTACGAAAAAGAACTTTCAACTAATACCAATACATTTATTTTCTGACATTGATGACGACATTAGTATTGTCATCACAATAAATTCAAAACCTAAATTGGGTACAATAAAGACCGACAGTTTCATTCCTTTTAATAATTTTAATATAACGGTTTTTCCCAATTGAAGTTTGCAAATTTTGTTTGAGAACGGCAACTGATATCGTTTTCGCTCATCCAAAATGTGATTAAAGGAGGAGGTTCAGACCAGTAACGTGGCCTTCTCTCTCTTTTGGTTATATTTTGAAAAAGTAAGAATCGTAATATTCGATATTCTTTCAATACGTTTATCATATAATAATACTTTCCTAATTTTTATTTTTTTTACCCTCCCCCATCATGAACGTACGACTTTAATAATCAACTACCTTATATAGGTGACTTAATTATATATTTATAAAATATATTTGATAAATTAGATTTAATTAAATTAACATTATACCAAGAAATGCTTCACAATCTGATTGACATGTATATCTTTCAGAATACCTAGGCAATTTATATAATTTTTTTTACACCATTCTTAGTCGGTTTAACATTAGATCATTAACGCTGTCATGTATACAATTTTCATTCAAACATCTTGTTCTTCTGCCATGACGACGTTTAGTAACCGAAATTATTGCTGACGGAATCTTTATAATAACATCCGATGAAACAATGAATGAATGAATAAATAAAAAAAGTAAAGTAAAGTAAGGTAAAGTAAAGATCTCTATTATTGTATTCTTTGTTGTGAATTCNTAATTTATAGATATCTAGTAATTATACGTTGAATAAGTGCTAGATATCTATAAATTAAGAATTCACAACAAAGAATACATTATACAAATAGCACGTGCCAATAATTTACCCTGATATCAAGCTAGCTAAAACTTCTGTGTTCTTTTTGCGAGCAACTTAACCAACCACCTGTCTGACGTTCATTATATCCTCACAATGGTTACCCTCCATTCTATATATTTTTGGTCACGAGAACAAATCTGTGTGTGCATTCATGCAGTCTGTGGTCTGCTGAGTTCAACGGTGCAGAAGATGACAAACCAACCGAACCATGACCATTAAGAAGCGAGCCCAACGCAGGCCCAACTCAACTATGAACAAGATTTTGGTCACTAAATACTAAGACCAGCCCTGTGTTCCTCTTCCAACACATCTTATATGCCTCTTGATAAGATACACCAAGCTACACCAAGCTACACCAAGCTAGGCTAAGCTTAGCTAACTTAAACGGGGAACTTTTAGCTTAATCCAACATCGGAATCAACAAGAGGAAGGATTACAAGATACTCTACCATATAGTATACAATACAATAACCTACCCACCCAACTCAACCACCTCCCTGTCTTCTTCCCATGGGGTCCCACCCCCCTCTATCTCTCCCCCCAACCTCCCAATGAAATATATTGTCCAAGATGCCAGTCCCTCTCTGAGTACATTGCTAGCTAGAGACTGCAAGATAGTTGCAAACGTACACACCCTTCCACACTCTAAAATCATCAGAAACAATAGATAGTATAATACCTTTCATCAACTTCATTTTGCCTATTTTATCGGTGCAACGAGAGGTTTCTGTATGTATTCCCACTGCAAGTACATACATTTTGCTAATTACGTATTGTAATCCATCAGGAATTAGCAAAATGGGGTGTGTGTCTTGAACTTATGGATGGTCAATGCGTTACGAGGGGGGGGGGGGGGAAGAGACAGAGGGCCGGAAGAGACAGAGGGCCGGAAGAGAAGAGAGGAAACAAGACAGATTGAAGATAAAGGCGACCACCACTAACGTCAATTTCGAGTTCAAGCTTGTCGAGGTGGAAATGTGAATGGAAACTTGAAAATTCCCTTAATCATCTTCTATCTATATATCTTCCCCAAAGTCATCAAGTACTCTTGGAAATATCGGTGAACATGGTCAAGCAAACAATAACTGAAATGCCAACGTTACAATATGCATGCAATCCATTACACCTTTCTCAACTCATTTCATTGCATTTTTTGTCTTGTCTTGATTCCTTGATTTTTATCGATTAAGCAATTATCACCCAAACTAGCAAGAAATTAAAGCACATTTTTAATCATTTCCACTACTATCACTATCACTATCACCATCACCATCACCATCACCATCACTATTATATTTACAATTACAATTACATTTACATTTACAAATACACCTCAGTATCCCCATACTAACTCTTATTGCAAGATGATGTGCTATATATGCTATACACTGATTCAAAATAAAGAACCCAACTAAGTGATTAATTGATTGAATCGATTAAGGTCTGTGATCGTGGCGGACAGCCTCTTGGTATCGTTATCTTGATTAGCACTATCTCCCATATATAAGATATACGTAAGGTGGGATGGGATTTTGATTTCAATGTTTACTGTTTCTTCTCCTCTCCTTATTATCATCTTTTCGTAACCCATCTTATATTCACTCTCATCTTCATCCCATCCATTTATATAAAGGTTCACCTTACTTGTTGGTGATTTTAAAACTACTACATTTGCTTCTACTCGTTTATATATAAGGGTTTGATTTTTTGTTATTCGATACACTAGTTTCTTGTAGTATTTGTCGAAACATAGCAAAGTACATTCACTTATATTGATTTATTATTTCCCCTATTTGTGGTTTTGACTAAGCAAGCTTTGAGTTTAGTTTTAGGTTTAGATTTAGATTTAGCATTAGGTTTAGATTTGAACATAAACTTTAACAATCATACAAGGTATATCAAGAGAGAGAGAGAGAAGCGTTTAATTATAATTAATAATTGGCTTTATCAGGATTGTCATTATTTTTTTTATTTAAACTTACTATAACTTTTTTTTAATTCAAACACCCCTTATTAAACGATAACTAAAGATACAAGAGTTCATATAGAACTATACTACTATAACACATTCAAATGAATACAGTATTGAAATTTCAAAGATATTCATATGTCAGATGCTATTCATCTACCCCAATAAGGTTTATGAAACGTAAGATGTCAAGTGATACAGAGCATATTTTCAGATCACTGCCTAGAGTCCCCACGACACAGTTCCTAGAATCAACGACTTTGACAAATGATATTTTGTTTAGTGGATATAGACCAATTACTTATCCAGTAAAGGAAAACCCATTGTTTAGAAATACTGGAAACACAAAGAATATATTTGGCCAAGATCTGGTGAATGCAGAAAGCAATAGCAATGACGCATCCTTACTACAGGAACATGACAAAAATATAACCAGCCAAGAATTCAATACATTATCTGGTGATAGAGGCACTGGTGGAATAAAATCTGGTGGCGTGAATGGCACTTGGAGATTTAATCCAAGAGTACCTTCAAAATTATTGCCTTATAGCTGGTGGTCTACTTCAATTATGGGTATGGAGTATTATCCAGAATGGAAAAACATCCCTCGTAAAGTAGTCAAAGATTTGAAACCTTACCAACTAGTAGATAAGGAATAAATGTTTTTTTAAAGAAAGGTAATTTTTTATCGTCATTTGTCATCATCATTATCATAGACCTCGTTGTCACCGTCATTATCTCATCATCGTAATATCGTCATCATTGTCATCATTCTAAATTTTCTTCCAGAATTACTAATTATGCATAAATAACATACATTCAATTTATCTTCTTTTTATTTTATATTGTATGTTTTCCATATACATACGTATATCCATTATATATAACCAATTACTTCATAAACTATAACAAGATAATATTCAAATAACTAAACCAAAATTAATAATAACTTTTGTAATGTCAAGGGGACTACCGCATGTCTTAATGTTTTTGGTCAGGGCAAAGTAAGAGAGGCACTTGATCAATTTAACTTTGAATAAAAGTAAAAGAATTCAACAAGGCTTGACAATTAAAACTATTAGAAATTAAACTAACAGTTAATATATTAGATAACCTATTTTGGCTTTATTGGCACTACTGCCATTGTAAATAATTTAGATAAACATTGATACTTTAACTTCAACTTTATATGTTTTTGGTTTATTTTGACTGCTGATATGATGAATGAAGAAATCTCAGTCATAGATGCTTAAAATCAGTTCATAATGTCATATAATTTATATAAAGTGATCTATTTGATGTTTTTATTGTAGTATTCTTAAAGTTACATATTTCAGTTCTATAATTTGTGACATCTCCAATGCTAGCAAAATGTTTAATATATATTCAATTCTTATAAACTTACTTTGATAATTTCTTGCCCCAGATAAGCAAAGTACCCAAGAAATTACTACGATCAAAACTTTCAGTTAATCTATACATGTTTAAAAGGATATAATATATTCTCTAATACCTCATTGCAACAAATAATGACAACCATAGTCTGTTGATCCAATACAATTTCAAATTTAAAAATTTGTTTTCTAAATGATATCAGTGACAGTATATAAATTACAATATTTAAATAATTTTACAAACTGAATTGTGCAAAGAGAAAGGACTTTAGTAGTAAAAATTAGCCAAATATATTTGTTATCCCATCAATTGATATATAAACTTTCCCAATCATTCTACGAGCAAAATTATCAAGAAGGAAACCTATATCTAAAATCAATAGGTTTTCATCTCAAAAAAGTTCCATTCAGAGGAGTACACTCCTTGGTAATACCAAGTTCCAAATAATATTTAAAAGTGATTCAATCATAATTATTTGTAAAATTATCAAGATGAAAACAGTAGGGCGCAAAACTTTGTTTTGTTTTGGAACATATCTGATATACAGGTAATCAGTATGCCCATCTCTATAAAGCACTATATTTCAAATGATTAGAATATATTTATTATCCTGATCAGTAACTATAAATAGTTGAAAATAGATCAGTCTATTAATAAATAGATTAAGCATGACATATGTGTGTCATTGTGTATAGTTTATAATTCAATTAATACTACAAATTCATCAAAAGTAGAGCGATTGATAGTTAGAAGATACCCTCAACCTTTATTTCACGTGATGCGAAATGATATGTCAATCGTGGCACGTGATCAAATATTGATTTGTGCTGGTATTACGTTAATAATGACCAAATATACAGTCTTCTTTATCCAATAATAAAAAATTGATGATACTTTAAAGAAAAGGTCAGTCCCTATTCAACTAATGCTTGTGTTTTAATGATTTTAAACATTTTTTGTAGACATCATCAGGTATATTAGATTGATTTATAATTATCTACTTCTGTTTGATTCTGTTTCAATTTCTTTGTCATTCCTTTTAGACATCAAAATTTGAATTTCGGGGAGAAGGAGTAACTAATAATAATATAGAGTTAATTATTATAAAATAATGTCAAAAATTATCGACACAGTTGCTAAGGTTGCTTTACCTATTGGTATTGTAGTCAGTGGTATTCAATTTTCCATGTACGATGTTAAAGGTGGTTCGAGAGCAGTTATCTTTGACAGAATTTCTGGTGTTAAACAAAATATTATTGGTGAAGGTACACACTTTTTGATTCCATGGTTACAAAAAGCTATTATCTATGATGTTAGAACGAAACCAAAGAGTATTGCAACTAATACAGGTACCAAGGATTTACAAATGGTTTCATTGACTTTGAGAGTTTTGCATAGACCAGATGTTGTCCAATTACCAACTATTTATCAAAATCTAGGTCTAGATTATGATGAAAGAGTTTTACCATCTATTTCTAATGAAGTTTTGAAGGCAATTGTTGCCCAATTCGATGCTGCTGAATTAATTACTCAAAGAGAAGTTGTCTCTGACAGAATCAGAGCAGAATTGGGTAGAAGATCTAATGAGTTTGGTATTAGATTAGAAGATGTTTCCATTACACACATGACTTTTGGTAATGAATTTACAAAAGCTGTTGAATTAAAACAAATTGCTCAACAAGATGCTGAGAGAGCTAAGTTTTTAGTCGAAAAAGCTGAACAAGAAAGACAAGCTGCCGTTATTAGAGCTGAAGGTGAAGCCGAAAGTGCTGAATATATTTCAAAGGCATTGGATAAAGCTGGTGACGGGTTATTATTAATTAGAAGATTAGAGGCCTCCAAGGAAATTGCAGCAACTCTATCGCAATCATCTAATGTTACATATTTGCCTAACGGTCATGGGAATGCTCGTGGAGGTAGTGATGGCACTCCAAATACATTATTGCTAAATCTAGGAAGGTAAAGTAAAATACCCAAATATTAAATTTTTTTTAGCTCAAATTCAGATAGTACATAAAATATAATATGTAAACCATTGTAAATAGGTCTAACAAAACATTAACAACCATGGAAAAGGATTTTCTGTACCAATGGAACAATTAATTGATCAACATATCAACTAAGTCATAATTAGTAGAACAGTATTTTAATAAATTTAAATTGAATTACAATAATATTAAATTAGGTATAGTAGAATTATATATAAAAAATAAATGAAGATATAAAATTAAACCAATACTCCAGTATATTGAAGATAAAATATAATAAAAAACAAATTAAGCAGGAGTAATGTTATATTATTAGGATTTTCGATTATTAATTAAATTGGAATTTAATTAAATTATAATTTTTTATAGCCATCAAAGTTTTTGACATTTCACCATTCCATTCTAAACCTCAGCTTTCATATCATATAGAAAAGAAAGAAACAGCCCTGTCACCAATAGATGTCGATGAAGTATTAATGACAATTGAACAACGAAGGCAGAAGGCAGAAAAAGAAGCAGTATCAGCAAAGTTAATCTTCGAGGTATGAAAAAAATACAATTAGGAAACATCAAAACATACTAACTTATTCTCTCGATTAAAAAGAATTGATACCTTCCATCATGTGTTCGAGGGAAAGAAAATATGTTGCAGCCTCAACTGTCAGCTCTGGCAGTATCAGTAATGGAAGCTGCCCTTCACTTAGGTTAAAGAGAGAGATGCTCAAAATCAATTTGATGCATGCACCAGCTCTCAAACGTAAACATCAACCCCCAGACAAAAAGAATTAAACCAACGATTTCTCTTCACTAGGATTGCACCAGTGTCACCATTCATTGTATATGTAACTTCATCTCAACCCAAGATAGATGAGATGATCAATATCTGTATTATTCCCAATTAGGTTCGAAGAGCCTTCTGGCCAGAACGTGTCCCAAAGAGGACATGCGACCAATCGGGAAATTAATTGAAAAACACGCGCGGTGTCCGAAAAAAGACAGCCGCATTATGAGCGTGTGTTTACCATTTTCGGAATATGGCCGAAAATGGAAATTGGACAGATTATTGGGCATAATACATATTAAGCACCATTGGTTATTGCTAAACTGGGAAAGAGCAACTTCTCTCTCCTTCATCGAATGTAATGAATGTAATGAATGTAGTTAAAATGTTGTTTTGATGAAGTTGAAGACAGTTAGCTGGGTTGGATGAATTAGGAATTGTTGGTGGTGGTTTTGAAGGGGGTGATTGAAATGATGTTGGTGAAAGTCAGAAGAATTAGAAACATGTAATAGTTAAACGTAAAAATAAAATTTGGTGATAATAAAAAAAAATAGAAAATAAAAGAAAGATTTTTGTAAAACAAACTGGGCAATGCTTATACCACCAGTACTAGTAGTAAAATATAATGAGGATAAAAAAAAGATTAAAATTCTGGTATCAGAAAATGATTACAGTTGTAAAATTCTTTAAACTTGAGAGATGTTTGGGACACCGACTTGTGGAGAAGAGGCACCTGGGACACCAATGTTAGCAGTGTGATGTCTTCTTCTACCGATGGATGGAGTTGAGAAACCCATGGCACCGTTAGACAACAAGTTGATGGCGGACATGACAACCTTGACGAAGAAGATGAAAAAGGAGAAGTAGAAGAAGGCGATGGAAGCTTGAGCCTTTCTACATCTGTCAGTAGAACCTTGAATAATCTTGTTGTTGTCTATGTAATTTCTGTTCTTACAAGAGTGAGTTCTAATACCAACAGACAAAACAGTACCTGCTGTGAAAGTGAAGGCAAAGTTTAAGAAATCGAAAGCGAACAAAATAATAGGCCAAGCAAATGGAGTGGTCCATATGTTAGCTAATATACCATAGAAAGAGTCGGTGACAACAGCAAATGGTGGGACGAACATACAGTAGTTAACTCTTGAACTGTGTCCTTTTTCAGTCGCCAGCAAAGAACCGATCAAACCCATACAGATGACGAAGAAACAGAAATTGATAGCTCTCATAATATTGTCAGCTAAACTCAACATCTTGGATTATATTTATTTATGTATGTGTGGATTGTTTGTTTGAAATAGGTTGATTAAATTAATTAAAAAAATTAGCAATAAAACTTGTTGTAGAATTCAGAAATAAAAGATTAAATTTATAATATCTTTTAAATTTTTTTCAGTACTAGTTTTGAAAATTGATTATTGTTGTGTTATTAAATATTATTATGGGTAATGTACCTTGATAAAATAAAATAACTTTAATATTTTTTTTCTTGATAGTGTCTTATAGTCTAAGTTTAAGGGGATGACATAAGTAAAAATGAAGAGTGAATAAGAGTTTTGAAAACAAAATTGTAGATAAAGTGATTGGAAATGAATTATTGTAATTGCAGAAAAGGAGACTGTATTTATAATAAAATATAACTGGATAGCAAAAAAAATTTAGTAATTATAATATCAAAACAACACAACAAGAGAAAGGAAAGAAAAAATTTTTTCCTTTCTTTCCTTCCTTACTTACTAAAAACCTACAATTACATTACATTACATTATCTCAAAGGAAAAAAAACCATCCCTGTAAACAAAGCGGTTTAAAATTAAACTACGATAAAAAGTGGGTAAAATAAACAATAACAATAACAATTACAATTTCAATTTCAATAACTAAACAATTGTTTATAAATTGTTTAGAGCTATTGTCAATTAACACATAAAATACCCAGAGAGGTGGTCCTACAAAGTGAGAAGCAAGAGAGAAGGGAAAGAACTAATTGGCTACCCACTGTGGAAGAGAGAAACTTCCCATCATATCATATCATGAACGTTAACAGCGAGTGGTTCGAAGAGAGAGACAGAGAGACAGCGAGACAAAGAGAGTTCAATCCTCTAACTTCTGCTTCTCCTGTTGTTAAACATAAAGTAAAGTTCTTAAGAGAATTATAAGTTCCCTCTTCTCTTGATAATTAACTGAAGGAAAAAAAAAAAGCTAATGCTGTATGGTGGGTTAAGTATCTCTCATCTGTTATATTGCCTTGTAATATATTATATTCTGACAAAACTGTACATTTCAAGAACGAAATAATCACAGCAGGAGAATACAATACAAGTAAGCAAAAAGCCGAAACCGAAACCAAAACCAAAATTAATTTCGAAATTGAAATTTGAAATTAAAAATTAAAAATTTTCAAATTGGTTTTCCCCATGATGTTATCCGCGTGTTCTTCTCTAAATCCATCACGTCCCGGTCCCGTCCCACCACCACCACCTTCAAATGAATCAATCGATCAATCAACCTAACTTGTACCCACCATCGATCATCACATATCATCCCATCCCATTCCCATCCTATCCTCTCTTGTGCAGTTGCATTACACAATTTCTTACTAATATCTATCAGGTAGTCACACGGTAGGTTTATATCATTCTCGTGGTTTAAACGTCGAACTGCTAACGAACAAAATAATGTCAAAAGGGTATAAACAACAGAAAGCAAAAAAGGTCTCTCTCTCTTTGTCGGTGAGAATTGTGTACTGATTGATTTCCACTTGTGTTATGTTGTGTTGGCCCATCAAGCAAAGCAGCTGTATTGTTATACCTTGTTTGTTTGGTTGGTTTTCACGTTTTGAACATTGCCTGTGTAATGTCTCGTTGGGTCCTTCTCTGTGCTGTCCTACCAAACGGATTTCGAAATGGAAGAAAAGAAAAAAAAACACCAAAAATGCGCACACATTGTGGTGGGAGAGGGCGTACCAGATGCCCGTGCCCAGACTCAAACTCAAACTCAAAACTCAAACTCCCACCTAAGCCCAAGCCCGTATACTGAGACTCTGTCTCGAGGTAAGGTGTGTGTGTTAGAGGTCTTTCTAATTAGCTTTTCCTCCCTCCCCCCTCCCTTTCAGAATCCCCTCTCTGTATGGCACTACCCAGAGAGAGTGAAAGGTGGACTCAGAGACAAACAACCAAGAAAGCAACGAATTGAAAAGAGTCGGTTTTGAGTTTATCCTGAAACGAAGGACACACTGCAGAAGCAGCAAACAAACAGACAAGCAAACAAGCAAACAAAGAAGCAAACACACAAACGCTCAAACAAAGAAGCAAACAAACAAACAATAGCAACAATAGCAACAAGAAGAAGAACTCTGCAACTATCACTGAAAAAACTACTAAGCAGATGACGAAATGCTAAATTGCATATAGTAAAACAAGGAAATGAAAGGGAAAAAAATTGAGCAGAACACGACAATTTCTTAAAGTGATAACTAATTTGACTGATGTAGTATCAACTACTATATGTCTAGTAGGAGGGTTTTCGGGTTTCGTGATGATGATTAATGCTGCTGATGCTGATGCTTCAAGAGGTACAACGACCTCTTGACCTTATCACTCTTTTTCATCTAAAGATCCTTTATTTTTTTTTCACTTTAGTACAGGCAGGAAGGAGACACAAGGCAAGAAAGTGTAACGCAACGCTATTCAATTTGGTTTTAGTTTGCGTATATGCAGAGAGAAGTGTCTAAGCTGTCGCAAGTGTATAATGGCAATAGCAATGCTACTTAGTGGGAACAAATATGTTCAAAACGGAACGTAACGAAACGTAACGTACTGTAATGTAACGGTACACCCGTATTCTAACGGAACAAAAAAAATTTCTCTTGGACTTGGCTTTCATTATTATTACTATTATTGTAAGTTCTGTTTTGTTTTGTTTTGTTTTTCCACTACCGAGAGACTACTAGAGAATAATACCAAAAAACAAATTTCAGTGTCTTGTAATTAATTTTAGTACTGCTATTTTTCTACTCAAGTTTTAAATTAACCTTATACTATTCTGCTATGCTATTCTATTCTCTTTCCTTGTAATGCCTCCCTCCCAGTCCACCATCTATCTATCTGTCTTCCCGTCTCTCCCTTTGCCGCAATAGTAAAATGGCCGTATGTAACTGGTGGAATATCCTGTTATAGATGCCATATTATTAGTACTATTCCTTACTATTTAGTGTGTTCATTACGCGAGTATTATCATAATTTAACGTTCGATAGGTGGAATCCCACTGGATGTGTTGTGGTGTCCTATCCCATCCATTAGGAATTCGGAATAGTACTATATTCTCTTCTATTCTATTCTTCTTCATCTGCCTTCCCCCCTCCTCTCTCTGTCTCTCTTCTTCCACTTCCTACCCCGAGACAGAACGTATATCTACCCAAATTGGTTAATTATTGTAATACTATTAACCATAAGAGTCAAAGACTGCCACCACCACGATCACTGGAAGCCGTTTCGCTTCGTTTCGTTTCGTTTCGATTCGTCTCGTTTCGTTTCGTTTCCTAGTGGGGTGGGTACAGCAAGAACCATCAAGAGAGGGAGAGCTTCTGGCTTGGATATTTTTATCTTGCTTGATCTTTTAACAGCATATGATAGATAAATTCTGTTATATCTTTTTTTTATCTTAATTGCGATCATGAAGAATTTGGTATTATATTGGAATACCTAAAACAAGGGGTGTTTCGGCTAAGAAAAGATGTGGTGTGGTGATATAATTGTAATTGCAATTGCAATTACAATTGCAATTCACATCACGTATTAAGTGGATATAGCATAGCATAGGTATATTACAAATGGATTTTGTCTTGTTTATAGGGGAAGTTTCACCACCAATGTAATAGGGAGGATGAGGTTTCACAAGAGAAAAATAAAATAGGAGAGGAGAAGAAAGAGGGGGGAGGCGATGGATGTTAAAGAGAATAATCAATTCGTGTACCATTAATGATTTGATTATTGATTATTGGCTTGAATAATTAATTAATTGGCTTCAATTTTAATGTCTCTTGCTCTCTCTATGTCTCTTCTCTTCTTTTCTCTTCTTTTAAAATCCTAATTTTTATTTTTCAATCTCTTTAGCTTAAACTAGTCCGATATCGATGATTGGTCCAATATTATAATAATGAAAAGCTGTTTGAATTTGAAGTGAGAGAAAGAAAAAAAAATTAGGATAAGTAAAACTGTCGTTTTGATTAGATAAAGTGTTACCACAATTCACTCACTACTATTATTAATTGTTCTTGTTATTAACATTATAGTTAAGGTTTGGAATAAAAAATTATTTTTTTATTATTGTTCTTTACAACCGCTATAATGGTGGGGGGGTTTCCCCTTGCTCTCATTGTCTTCATTGTATAGCAATATTTATTCTTTTTGCAAGCGCAAGCTTCTGAGGTTAGTCAATAGGGGTATTTATTCAATGCACTCTTGTCCCACTTCATTGTTTCTTGTTTCCTTTGATAGTAAGTTATTACAGCAAAAATTTGGACAGTGTTGCGTTTAGAGATCAAAAATAACCTTGAAGCCATTAATCGACTTTGCTCGTCTCTATATCACCAGGGCTGTCACCTAATTTATTGAAATATTTTATTTTATGATTCTTACTTATTCCCGTAAAAGTAAATAGTCTTTCAACCTCATCGGATCCAGGTCAGAATTTTGTTACCCGGTATTACATCATGTGACCATCTCCGGGTAATATCTTTCGAAACCCATCTTTCCTTGAACGTGTCACGAACCTCTTTCTTTCCTTTTTGCATGTCTTTTACTTGCCCTCTTTCGAAATAAGGTTAGTTGGCTGGGCTGATCAAATAGTTGCTACTAAGCTACATGAAACTGATGATTAAATTGATTACTTTAATATATTGATCCCACATTGATGTCATCCCAATTTCAGAACTAGATACACCTAAAAACCTAACTCAATTGGTTGCTATATTTGTGGAGGAGCAAATTTGAAAGAACCTAATCGACTAGAAGACACTTACCTATCATGTTTTCTGGATTTTCTATTGACAAACTTACTGATTCGATATCTAATGTCGCATTGAAGACTCAAGAGAATTTGACAAATGCTTTGTCAAATGTAAATGAAAATTTGGAAAATTATTTAAATGATCCAAATACTAAATTATCGATTAAATCAAAAGCAAGATTTATTCAAGAAAAGTTAGGTACCATTAACGATCAACCAAGTAAATTACCTCCAACTTACACTGATTTGGAATTGAAGACTGATGCAATTGAAAAAGCCTTGAAAAGATTATTGACTGTAACTAAAACTTATGAAACTGAAGGTTACGATTATCCTCCAAACCTAACTGAATCTCTTTCCGATTGGTGGACTAATGACGATAATGTTACTAACACTGATGAAAATGATGAAAATATTCAATCAAACAAATCTTTCTTGCCAAGATCTTTTGCTCAAGCTATTTCAAATGCTTCTTTTGATGCCGCCTCAAATGTTAATTCGGTAACAAATACAATTAAATTGAATCATAAGGATGATGAGGAAGAAGAAGAGGATGATGAGGAATGGTCAGATTTACATAAAATTTTCGAATCATTAGGAAATTGTTACAGAAATATTGACAATGGTAAAACTGAAATGGATAAATTAATTGTAAATGAATTTAATAACAAACTAAAAGATTTAATCAATACAGAATTTAAAAATGTTCATCAACTACGTAAGAGTGTTGAAAATTCAAGACTAAAATTTGATACTATGCGTTATGAATTGAAAATTAAAGAATGGAAAAGGACA